AATCCTGCAGATATCCGTCTATCTCATCCTTCTCCTCGCAGAATGCTTTAAATGCCTGGTACGGTATTTTCTGCTTTGTTGGAGGGCAGAATGAGTTGACGATGGATTCCGCCCTGGATGGTGACCTCTGGGGTTGCTGTGCCATAATGTAGTCCTGGACGTCGGCCATTAGCACGGTTAAGATGTCCAGGGTTACTGGCTGTGGTACAAATTCCAGCCGGGTTCTCAGTTCCCTCTGGTATGGTGTTTCCTCTCTGGCAGGTGGGGGTGGACTGCTGTGTGCCTGGTCGCCCTCCATTAGCTCTGCAATCAGTACTGCCTTCGATTTGTTGCTAGCGATTTTCCCTCTAGCCTCCAGCAGTTCCTTTAGCATCTGTCTCTTTAACGCCGTGTAATCAGTTCCCATTCACCGATCGCTTTCGTCTGCTTGTTTCATACGAATTGCCTTTCCGTTCGGTTGTTCCTTTCATTCGAATGCGCTGTATTCGGCTGTAGAGTTGGATCCCGACGCTTGCCACCAATTGTAGCGGAATGCCAATATTAAATCCACGAATTCCGCTGGTCCAGAAACGAATCCACAGTCAAGCGCTGAAAACACCAAGGCAATATCCCCAACCTCCCAATAACCGGACGAGACACAGTTTTGGGAGTCAACTGAAATCCTTTAATCGGCACGACAATTTATACAAGTCCCCATGCAAGGGGTTTCCTGAGTCCCTCCCCAGGGGCACTCCCAGAGGGGACTACATGGGGGACTTACAGTACAACATATTTCTCCCATCAGGCACTGCTGCACGAGAGGGATCATCCTCCCAGAATGCACCGTTAAGGGGATTATCCCCTCGTGCAGCAGAACCGGCAATTCACACAAAAATCTACAACTTTTACAATACACGGTGGATTTACACGAATGGACGTTCGGTAGATAGCTGGGGTCTGGGCGCATCATTCGTGAGATTGCCGCTCAGATCCCAGCTAAAATAACCGAACGCCGCACAGAAACCACATTTCTTTCAAAACACACGAAAAGAACCGATTACTTTTAGTGAACCTGGTCCTGAAACTCCCGAACGTCCTGGAGGCTCAGCGGTGTTCGTGCCGTCGAATAACTATGGGTAATGCTATGCGTTCGACAACACGGACCCGCTGAAGAACAAGGGATCCAAGATGGCCGACCGCCGCATGGTCGGTAGTCGAACGACGGCCACCCAGGAGAGCCTCTAATTACCGATTGCAACATTGTTGCAATCGGTTAACTAGCGCCACACGCCTCTAAGTGTGTGGGCTATTAGGGGGTATCGCGTTCGCTTCACGAACGGCCCTCCAAAGTGCCGTTCGCGAAACGAACGAGAATCCCCATACAAACCGCCATTGGCATTCGGCGGAACAGGTAATTACAGTCTCCACAGAAATACATCAAGCACGTACATACGAATAAACCGCATATCTCCCCAGACCTGTAGGCAACCCTTAAAGGCACAGTCTCTAGTTATTGTCCAAGTGGCTAGGTTTGCCACAGGGGAATATGGTGGATACTATACACTAAAGGGGTGGTAAGATACACAAAAAGTGGTAAGACATTCAACAGATGAGATAAGAAACTCAAAAGGGGTAAGAAATTTAAAAGAAGATACATTTTGCCCCTCCAAAAAAAAAAGTATCTTGACCCAAGTATTTAAAATTATTGTAGAATAACAATTGTTGTGAATGCTGAGGCTGAGCACATCTAGGTCAGGACAAGACGGGCTGAATCGAAAAATGTAACTCAGAATACACCACAAAACCTGACTTACCAGCAAGGAATTATGTCAGTTACATTTACTCTCATATCACTGACCGGTGCAAACCCATGGGATTGTGAACTGCCCTTAGTGGGCATTGGCTGAGGAACACCCTCAAGACCTTACCTCCTCTCCTTACATGACAAGCCTGGCTACATCACGGTGGATTCCTGACTTGGAAGCTGCAGTTAACCAGTTCATTATCCTGATGATTGGAGATCCTCCTAGCCATGCCTTGTAGTGCTTTGGACACAGAGTCCCTCGAGGTGGGACCACTATACAGTGACTTGTCATTTTTAGCTTTTTTATTCTCTATTATTTATTATTTATTTAAAAATATGCAGCTTCTCTTGTTGTGACATGTCTACTGTATGCTCATCCTCACTGGTTATGTTTTAACTGTATGTCATTGCTGACTTTTGATTGTTCCACTGCACTTGGAGGGTGCATGGAGGGTCGAGGGAATAAGACACATGGGGGGCCGTGGTGACACAAAGTGACATAGAAGGGCTGAGGGAGAAATAGACAAGGTGCTATGGAGAGAGAAACACAGAAATGGGACTGGGGAAGGGTCAAAAGAGACAGACAGGGGCTTGGGGGGAGACACCTAGAGGGACTGTGGAAGGGGCAAAAGAGACAGACATGGGCTTGGGAGGGAGATGCCCAGAGGGGCTGGTGGGAAAAAATAGACACAGTGAGGCTGGGAAGGGCACAAAATAGGCTGATAGAGGTTTTAACTAAATCCATTAGATTTTAGTCGTGTCAACTAAAATCTACTGGAGATTTAGTAGACTAAAATCCACTGGAGATTTAGTCGACTAAAACTAGACCAAATCTAAAACAATTCAGATGAATAAAATAGGACTAAAACTAAATTCACATGCATGGAGGTGTGACAAGGGTTCATAAACAGTTATTTCACTTAATTGGCAGAGAATTGAGCAGTGAGACTGCATGGGGCATGAGCTATACACCAAAAGTGCTTTGTTAAGCTAAAGTTGTTTTGGTGACTATAGTGTCTTTTTAATTAAAATGTTTACAATTTGCAAGTTAGGGGTGCTTAGATTGCCCTTTTAAAGAAGAAGGCTATGCACAACATCCACTGCAGCTCAGTGTGTATGTACCTAATAGTCTCCTGCTGCCATCTCCAATTTTATTCTCAAACCATCATGAGGTAGTTTTGCAGACATAGGAGCCAATTTCAGTGCTCATTGTCTGCCATCTTCAAGCACAATGGAATTTACACTTCCACCTGATCTATATGAATTTCGTTCAACCTAAATGGCGATGATTGACTCAGAGCTGGGTGAACAGGTTGGAAGATTCTTCTGCCATTATGATGTTGCTTGCTGTAAATTTGTTTTTAACGTGATGCAACGTATAACAAGTTACAGTAATTTCCAGAGTCACAGTCAGCGCATTTCACTTCCCTATTAAATGAATCTTGTTCGGAGTTATAAGTCATAATTTTGTTATTGTGCCAGAGACCGTAGACACACGGCTGGAGTGCTACGCACTTAAACTCTATTCCAAATGAAGCCTCACAGAACCAATAACACTCTCAATCCCCTGAAGTGCTTTTCAAATACCCCTTTTTTGTTCATTAACGTTCGTAAAACATAAACACTGACCCCCTTCTGTGCCCCTTCTCTGCCCCTTCTCTGATTCTTTTGTTCAATTGCACTCGTGCACATAGGACAATTGCCAGAAAAAATAAATGTCAACCTCTACTTATACTGGAGTAACTAATATATCTCTTTAATCAAAATGTTTGTAGGTTCCTCAGGCAACCCAGCAGAACTTCCATTGAGGAGATAGCCAGCTCTGTCCCCACATAGCACTATGTCTTGAGAGCTGGCCACTTGTACACATACAATGGCCAGTTTGAACTGTACTCTAATGGAAGCCAGATGTTCAATTTGCACATTAATCTGTTATGGAGACTGTTCGTTGCATCTGCTTTTCGAAGGTCTAGAAGTTTTTCTGTTTTTTTTTTCTTCAATCTATTGCAATGCTCTAGTTGTTATTTGTCTATCTCTGCCTCTCTGCCTCCAGAACTATTCAGGAAACATTACAGGATTTAGATTTTCCGTAGAACTCTGTTTTTGACACATGTACTGTCAAAGATGAAAAGTTTTATTTGCCTGCACTCTGTAAATCAAATTGTTTTGTCACATTTCTGACCTCTAGTGTGGCAAAGAGCCTTTCAACAGCTTAATTAGCATGAACCATTAAAATTCCAATCCTGCACTTATGATAAAAAATCTAATAAAAAAGACCCTGGAAACTTAATTTTTTTTCACCTTTTACAAATTAAATACACTTTTTATATTGTTTTCATAAGACTGAAAATGTAGATGTAATTCAAGTAGCCTGTCAGTTCAACCAACATTTCAAAATAATTCCAAATACTGAAAAAAATGGTTAAGGCAAAATACTTGCCTCAACACTCGATGGGCTCTGCACCCAAATTGATTAATATAACGGTTCCCGACGGAAAACACGGGAGTGTCAGTCCTCAGCTGGCCCACAAACGATATGGAGAGAAAAACCAAGAAGCAGAAAGCAGACAAGCCCAAGTCGGGGGTAAATATTGGCGATCTGTTCCACCAGGGGCAAAGCGCACGTGGAGCCAAAATGGCCACTGATCTCGGGGAATATACTGACTCCTCAGAAGATCTCAGCCTAGAGGACTATGCAGGCAGTATGTTTGCTCCACTGCCACAGCAATCTCCCGCAACAGGGGACTCCAGGCCCGTCACGGCAAAGGTGCTTAAAGACATGCTGGGGGACCTGCAAAAGATAATCCAGGCCAATGTGGCCCAGCTACGTACAGACCTCACGGGCCTCGTGGGTCGTATAGGGAAGGTTGAGGCCTCCACAGAAACCCAGGCCCAAACCATAGCGGAGCTCCAAAAAGAGGTGAAGATGCTCAAGGCGCAACAATCCAAGACGGAACAGCGTTTTGCAGCGCTGGAAGATCAAAGGCGCCGCAACAACATGAAAATACCCACATAGAGGCAGTTTTCCGAGTCCCTAAACCCCGAAGAGCTCCAGCGACGGCGCCACGAGACCTGGTGATCAGGTTCCACACATATGCAGACAAAACAGCGATGCGAGCTGCCCTTAAAGGGCGCACGCCGTATAAGTTCGAAAATATGACACTACAGTTCTATGCGGACATGTGGCCCTACTCAGAAAGAGCAACATAGAGTACCGATGGCGCACACCGCGGACACTGCAAGTCATGCACAACAATACGACCCACTCCATCACAGACCTGAAAGAGGCCACCGCCCTGCTCCAGCCGCTGGGCCTGCCAGAGGACTCTCTGACCCACACCACGCCGCCAGGGAACAACCTACCCGCGCACAGATGGAACCCGGCAACAACCAAACCGTTTGTTCCCCAAGGAGAGAGACTGGAGTTACATGCTACCACCACCACCTGAACCACAGGACTTTTGACCCCAATGTGCTACCCACAAACAAAAGTACACCCACCCACTGCAGTCCGCAGCTCCCTATATACCTACAGGGATACCACTCTCAGCTTCACTCTGACTATCTGACACCAGGAACTACCAGAGGGCACACACGGCCCCCCACAAGGGACTCTCAATCTATAGCGGCCCACACCGGACTCAAGGCGGCTAAAAGTTGGGTGCTTTTTACTAGCAAAACCGGACTATGACAATTCCATTTAAATATAATTTTAGACCTTACGCTTGGATCACCAACCCTCCGGACTGGCAAAGCGGCCACAGTACTATATGGACACTCTTTGGACTTTAATACCCAGTCCAACCCAACGCCGGGCCGCAAAGATGTCCATTGTGGGTCACATGCGGCCCGCAAGTTTGACATGCTTGGCTTAAAAACATTTGATGCTCATTGAGACACTGCTAGTAAAATTACATATCACTTTTAAACATAATTTGTCACCTTCTCAAATTATTTCTTTTGAATTTATATGGCTTTAATTCTGATAAGGAAGGCACTGTGTAATACCCGTTCATATTAGGAAGATGTGTATCACAAATGGGACTATATTCATAATTTAAAGTGTCTGTTTCACTGACTGGGGTCTTTGTATGATTTACAAAGACTTATGATGGTGACTGCTCCACTGGAAGCGAGGTGACCATGGGGTGCAGGGAGAGGTGAGTTATCCTTACAAGAACATATACCTCACAGCCACCACCATCCTGTGCTACTAATACAAAGTAGTATACTAGTATTATACAAAGTAGTACTTTGAGTATGTCTTTTGACTGGGTTGGAATTCAATTGAAATTACACCACAGTCAATGTGAGTATTTCATAAAGATTTGGGGATGACCGTGTCGCTTAAAAAGTAAGTTTAGAACACTTTCAAAGTTTCCTATTTAAACAGACTTATTTCTGAATACATTTATTGCAGTCTAAAAATTCATACTTTAGAGAACACAGTAACAAATCAAGTGAATTTAAAAAATTTAAGCCAAAGTTTAAGAAAAATAAAAGAAACGACATGGAAAATTATTTATTAATTTGGTCCATAATTTGAAATTCAATTTGAATTCACCTTGAATCCTACAATTTACAGTTTAGTAAATAACATTGTGTGAGTGTTATTGCTGTGTAAATATGTAAATATAAAATTTGGAGCTTCAACTACCAGTACATGTTTTGGTTTGAAATAAAGTTTATTCTAATACTACTTTATATTTTTCAAACAATACCCATTAAACTCCTCCATGCCTTCTTTTCCTCACTTTGGAATGCTGCCATAGCATAGTTTTGGAGGGAGCTCACCCCAGATTAAGATGTAAATTCGGTTTTACTTAGATAAAATGGCAATGCACTCACTTGTTATGGCTCCTAAAAGATAGAATGGAGTGATCTGATCCCCACTCTGGGATACTGGTGAGCATAAATCCTCTCAGTATGTTTAGTATGTAACAAAACAAATATAACAAAATATAGTGCACCTTATGATTAATCCAAATAGTTTAGGTGGTATATTCCACACCAAGGAAAGTGACATACAACAGGCAGGGCCGGATTAAGAGCACAGTGGGCCTGGTGCTGACAATTATGATGGGCCTAATTACGGAATCTTATCGACCAAAAACACTAAAACAATCATACCTCCCAAGCGTCATGTATCTGATGGAGATGGTGCTGGAGGGAAACTCATAGGATGCAGCTATAAGAAAACACATACTCTGTGCTAATCTTTCTCTAATTTATGCTTTCATCTTTCAAGTAAATCCATACCCCCTAACAGCAGTGTCCAGTGAAGCAGGAAGTCAATGGGCGGGGTAAAAGGGTGGGCCACTGACGCGAATCACGTGACCAGACCTGCCAAAAGGGGTGAAGATGCCCAAAAAGGGGGCATGTTTGTCTAAAGAATTGGAAGGTCAGCCTGGCATGAATGAATGTCAGGCTGCCTGCCAATCCTGCAGGCTGTCCAAATAAGGGCATACTATGCAGGCAGCACCTTGAGCTTGACATAAATGCATCTAATGATGCGCTCACTCCATTCTTTCTAAGGACTGTCCCCTAGCACTTGCTGGTCCATTTGTCTCCTTACCTTCTTACTAGCAGGCAGAAGTTCCTGGTATATAGTCTGAGACAGAGAAAAGATGTCTGTAGTGAGTGTAGAAGAAAGGGGACATGCCACAGTGTTAGAGAGACCAACATCTGCATTACCTAAACTAATTTTAATGTCAGCCTGTGCACACAAGTTTTGTTCCCATACATCCCTCTTAAGCTTCCAAACTTAAAGGGACACTATAGTCACCAGAACAATTACAGCTTATTGTATTTGTTCTGGCAAGTAGAATCATTCCATTCAGGCTTTTTGCAGTAAACACTGTCTTTTCAGAGAAAATAACTCCACTGGCCGCTCCTTAGATGGCTGTTAGAGGTGCTTCTTGGGGCAGTACTGCCTAGTGTGCAGCACTGACATTCAGTGTCTCCACCCTCTGCATGCAGACACTGAACTTTCCTCATAGAGATGCATTGATTCAATTTATCTTTATGAGGAGATGCTGATTGGCCAGGGCTATGTTGGACTTGTGCTGGCTCTGCCCCTGATCTGCCTAGTTGACAGTCTCAGCCAATCCTTTGGGGAAGTATTGTAATTTGTAAATCACAAGGAGTGACATCAGAGAAAATTCTGTCAAATCACCAACAAACTACTCACTGTTTGATTCTGCTGTATAGATGGATTACTCCCAGTGTCTCCCTGTCTCCCAGTCTCGCAAGTCACCCAGTGTCTCAGTGTCCCTATGTATCATAGTGTCAGTGTCCCCATGTCGCCCAGTCCCCTAGTCTCCCAGTGTCTGTGTCCCCATTTCTCCCAGTGTCCCAATGTCTCAGTGTGTCCCCATGTCACTAAGATACTGGGGACACTGAGAGACATGGGGACACAGAGACATGGGGACACTGGGAGAAATGGGGACACTGAGACACTAGGGACACTGGGAGACATGGGGACACTGAAACATTTGGGGACACTAAGACACTAGGGACACAGAGACATGGGAACACAGACACTGGGAGACTAGGGGACACTGGGAGACTAGGGGACACTGGGAGACTAGGGGACACTGGCTGGGAGACAGACACTTGGGAGGGAGACATGGGGACAGTTGTGGACATAGACATGTGGACACTGGGACATATAGGGACACTGGGAGACATGGGGACACCAGACACACTGAGACACTAGGAACACAGACACTGGGAGACATGGAGACACTGAAACATTTGGGGACACTAAGACACTAGGGACACAGACACTGGTGGACTAGGGGACACTGGGAGACTAGGGGACACTGGCTGGAGACAGACACTTGGGGAGACATGGGGACAGTTGTGGACATAGACATGGGGACACTAGGCACACTGAGAGACATGGGACACAGACACTGGGAGACTTGGGGACACTGAGACACTAGGGACACTGGCTGGGGGACATGGGAACATAGTGTCTCCGTGTCCCAATGTCTGTGTCTCCCAATGTCCCCATGTGTCTCAGCATCCTCATGTGTCCCAGTGTCCCCATGTTTTCCAGTGTCCCCAAGTATCTCAGTGTCCCCAGGTCTCCCAGTGTCCCCATGTGTCCTAGTGTCTCAGTGTCCCCTAGTGTCTCAGTGTCCCCATATGTCCCCAAGTGTCTTAGTGTCCCCTAGTGTCTCAGTGTCCCCATGTTTTCCAGTGTCCCCAAGTGTCTGTGTTCCCAGGTCTCCCAGTGTCTGTGTCCTAGTTTCTCAGTGTCCCCTAGTGTATGTGTCATCATGTGTTCCCTAGTGTCTCAGTATCCCCATGTGTCCCCTAGTGTCTGTGTCCCCATGTGTCCCCTACTGTCTGTGTCCCCATGTGTCCCTGCTGCCTTTCCCCCCATCCCTCACTTACCAGAGCTGTAGAGCTGCTGTCTGGACTGTCTGCGCTGTGTAGCTGCTCCCCCAGTGATCAGTAAGTAGTAGAGAGAGGCAGGGATATTCTGTAACTTCCTATACCTGCCTCTCTCCACACACAGTGACCCCTATTGGCCGGTGCTGGTATTGCAGAGTAATTTCCATTCATTCTGAGAAAATTACCTGCATTTGTATTGCTGGTATTACTGCAATACCGGCACGGCCAGGCAGTCTCAAATACCGTCTGTGCCATTAAAATACCAGTCAGGTGGCAAACCTAAGAGTAGTGTGTAAAAAAAAAAAAAAAATAATAATTTTTTTTTTTTTTTTAAATGGGCCTATTCCATGGGCATGGGCCTGGAGCTGCAGCTCCATCAGCCCCTATGTTAATCCGGCCCTGACAACAGGTAATAAATTAAAAGCAGTACAAGTACGTTTAATTACTTTAGGGAGACGGGTAACTTCCCTCAAGAGCTTTTAAAAGCCTATATTGTAACCATTCCCAAACATAACAAAAACTCCAAAATAATTGCTAATTACAGACCTATTTCCCTTTTGAATACTGATATAAAACTATATTCTACAGTAATAGCTTCAAGACTGAATAATATTATCCCCTTAATTATACATGGGGATCAGGTGGGGTTTGTAGCATCCAGGTCTTCAGCCTATAATATTAGAAGATTGATTGACGTCATGGATTTAGTTGCTAAAGAGGGAGTCTCTCTCCTTGCTCTGTCAGATGCCGAGAAGGCTTTTGACAGAGTCAGGTGGGACTTCCTTGACGCAACATTAGTGTCTTTTGGCCTTACAGGCGATATTAGACGCGCTATTATGGCGCTATATTCCGTCCCGACGGCCAGGGTGGTTGGAGGTGGGTTTTCTTCAGAGTGGTTTCAACTAACAAACGGCATTAGACAGGGCTGTCCGTTATCTCCCTTGCGGTATCTTTTTTTTTTTTTTAATTCTTTATTTTTGTTGTGCAGGTGGTTACAAGGTTTTGACAGACGCCACAACAGCATTTCTGAAGCTTTCACAATAGTCAGACAGTGGCATGATAATTCGCACAAATTTTATATTTTGCAAGCTTAACTGAGCAGATATGTCATCAGAGTGAAATTAAATAAAATATAACAAAATAATGATGCTGCTTGCTTGATACTGCTAAGTCATCTATGCTAGTACAGGTATGGTGTGTTAACTCGTTTTGTAGAATAACAGTAGCTGATTGCACATTGGAGCAGTTGTGCCCCATTTTCAGAATTATGCAGTGTGTAGTTTAACG